CAACACACAGGTAAGGTCACCCTATTAGAGGGGCCACCTTGTGAGACTTATCCACGTGCCCTGAGCTGGCCCCCTACCGGCCTCATCTCCTTACCTTTAACCCACTGTAAGGAGCTGCCGGCAGACCCATTTTCCAGATGAGGACTGAGTGCTCCAAGTTAAGACAGCTGGGGAGTGGCAGAGCCCGGCCTTGAACCTGGGTTTGTGGTTTTCATCCAGGTCATTCAAAAGGTAACCTGTGGAGAGGAGAGGGGGGAGGGTTTTTGGCCTCTGAGGGCAGAGCCGGGGCCAGGTGGGGCCAGGAGTGCAGAGAGAGAGGTGTGCAGCTGGGACCCGAGGCAGCTGTCTGCCTTAGTAGCAGGGATTCCTGCTTGGGAGGGAGGTCAAACATCCAAGTTCATCTTGACCCTGACTGAGGTATGTTGGCTAATTCCTCCCAGCCTCGGTTTCCCCATCTGTAATGTGTGGATGGTGAATAGCACACCATTCATGGGGCTGCTGTGTGGTTTAAATTTTGACTTCATATGTACAAAGCCCATAGCTTGTACCTGGTGCCTGGCACATAGTCCCTTTAGCATTCTTGTCAGAACGTGATTTACTCTTGTTAAAATAGCCTGCTAGCAACACAATGGTTTTTTTTCCTCTATTTTTTTATTGTAGTAAAACACACATAACATAAAATTTACCATCTTACGATGCTTTCATTTATTTTTAAAAAGGGGAGGGGAATCAAAATGGACACTACACCTGTGTTCATCTTGCTCCTGCAGCTTTTCTCTAGGTTTGAGGGTTTTTCAAAGTAAAAACTGGGAGATAAGAGCTCCGCACTTGGGGCAGAGCTTCGAGCACTTGTCAGGCTCCTGGGCCAGCAGAATGTATGCAGGACTGGCTCTCCTGGTCTGTGATCCGCCTGCCCCCAGCTCAGACGCCAAAGCCAGTGAGGTGGGCAGGAAGGAGAAATGGGAGGCGCCCTTGCTGTGCCCAGCCCGGGCTGGGAGGGGGTTGCCCTTCTACAATACATTTTACATCTGTGCAGACTGAGCCCAGAGGGAAGACAGGACTCACACAGCAGGGAGGAGGTGGACCCAGGTCTGCCCCCTGAGCCCGCGCTCTGTCCCTCTGTCGGTGGGGTGGGGTTTGTGTTCACGCCAATGCTCCCAGCCTCCTTTCTATGCCTTCTGGCCCTCCTGGCCTTGCCCTCCCTGTCCCCTGTAGCCTAAGTTATGACCTTCCATCCTTGGCAACACCGCTGCCCCTAGGGCCCCTAGCACAACTCCCTCCCTTCCGTGGGGTCACATTTCCCAGGAGTCACTCCTGGAGATGGCCAAGTACTGAGGGGGCTCCATGAACACCCGAGCACTTGGAACCAGTGTGGGCCATGGCCCAGCCTAATGTCTCCTCTCCAGAGCTGGGTATCGTCTGACTGGCAGCCAAGGGCCATTCGATGGCTTTACAGGCAGGTGGCTAGGACAGGTCCCTTGTCTCTGTAGACAAGGCCTGCGGGCCATGAGTGAGTGATAGCCAGTGGGGCCTTTGGACTCATTGTCTGTGCAGATGGAGTGCGGGCAGTGAGAGCAGCCAGAGTCCTCATCCCTGGGCCTGGCCTGTCCCTGCTCCTCAGCCAAACTGTCCATAGTCCAGGGTCAGGAATAAGGAAGGAAGAGGCAGCGGCTGGGATGTTTTCACTGTGGGGTTGGCACGAACGCCACAGAATTGGGGCTTGGCCATCAATCAACTTTTCGGTGATGTGGGCATGACTCTCTACTCCGTGTCTCCACAGAACATGGAGAATCGGTCCTCAGGGGCACAGAGGGTGGCTGTGAGAGCTGTGTGAGTATCCGGGGCAGGGGAGCCCTACAACCTGGGCCCACTGTCATTTTTCTCTGGGGCGACACTGCTCCTGTTCTCTAGACAAACAGAGTCCCTTCCCCTCCCCCACCCCTATACATCCTGGGTCCTGAGAAACCCAGATGGACCCAGAACCAGCCCTGCCTCCCCGCTTGCCTACTCCAATCCCTTTTCTACTCAGCGGTCAGCATGCTCTCTAAAATCTCCACCTGCTTCTGTGACTTCCTGGTGCTCCGGGAGACCATCCAGCCTTCCACACACGGCTAACGGGATCCATCTCCGCCCGATTCCTGTCTTTGCTGCGCCTCTTGCCCCTCACGCTTGATAGCCCAGCCTGTAGCCAGAGTGGCCATCTGTTCTCACCTCTGGGACGTCGCACGTGAACAGGAATAGGCAGGAGCACCTCTCCTCCTGGTCCTTTCTGGCTCATTTCTCGTCATCCTTCAGGTCTCAGCTTAGACCTTCTAGGATGCTTTCCCTGCCCTTCACCTTAACGTGTTTCAGGAAACCCCAGATAGCTACACACGCCAGGGAACTGTCTGCCAGTCTCCACCCCACCCCTCACCTGGGCCAGGGTTTCAGAGAGTGAGCGCTTCCTCTTTGTTGAAAGACTGAAGGAATGATCCATCAGATCTACACACACAGACACACAGACAGACAGACAGACACACACACAGACACACAGACACATACACATAGACACACAGACACGCAGACACACACACACACACACACACATAGACACACACACACACACACATAGACACACACACAGACACACACAGACACGCACACAGACACACACACAGACACACACAGACACACAGACACACACACACAGACACACAGACACACAGACACACACACACACATAGACACACACA